GTCCTTATTCTCAGGCCATCGCATTTCTTTTTCCATTTGCAGGGTTGTGATAAACCTTTTCCTGTTTACCAGGTTGCACCTTTACCTTGACGACACAGAGGGAGAACAATAGGATTCTTCGGGAAAAAGGGATGGATGGAAAGAGCAGGATAGGGGAGGAAGCTTGAAGCCTGGGGCTTCGGGTCCTAAGCAAAGGCCAGACAGCGTCCCTACAGACCTCCTGCCCGGGCAGCTTGTGGCCCCTTGGGAAGAGCTGTGAACCTAGAGGGGGGTTCACTGGGAGCACACTGGGGCTGGGCGAGCAGTGTGTCACAAGTTTCCAAGTCCAGTGTGGCTCCGGGGCCTGGCCTGAGTGACCTAAGCTCTGAAAATCATTAACGAGTTGATGAGGAAAATGGAAAACCTGTGCTGTTGTTGGTGGAGCAGAGGGAGTGAGCCCGGAGGCTCTAGGAAGGTGCACGAGCAGAGCATGAGGGGTGAGGGTGGCGGCATGACAGTGCCCGAGGTGCAGGAGGAAGTGGAAGGCGCAGGGGGGCGGGAGCCAGGGCCCCCAGACCCTCGCTTGGCCTGAGTGTCTGCCTGTCTGGAGTCGTGGGCGGCTCCGTCGTGAGGTGAATGTGAAGGGCGGCAGGGCTTTCCCTTTGTCCCCTACGTGAAGTCCTCGGTGGGCCAGTAACGGGTCGGGGCACGCATCCTGGTCGCACAGGGCACCACCAGTGCTCCTGCTCAGGCCGCTGTGTGCGTGTCTTTTTTTTTTTTTTTTTTATTACAATTTTTTTTTCAACGTTTATTTATTTTTGGGACAGAGAGAGACAGAGCATGAACGGGGGAGGGGGCAGAGAGAGAGGGAGACACAGAATCGGAAGCAGGCTCCAGGCTCTGAGCCATGAGCCCAGAGCCTGACACGGCGCTCGAACTCACGGACCGCGAGATCGTGACCTGGCTGAAGTCGTGACCTGGCTGAAGTCGGACGCTTAACCGACTGCGCCACCCAGGCGCCCCTGTGTGCGCCTCTTTAAGAAGGGTTTCCTGGCAGCCTGAGCCCAGACTCTGTGTTGGCTAGCTCCACGTCTACATTACCGGCGCGCGCGCGTGTGTGTGTGCGCGCATGTGCACACGCGGGTCCCTCTCCTCGCCCCTGTATCTGGCCTGAGTGCAGCTCTGGATATTCTCAGCTCAGCTGGATGTGGGGGTTGATGCTCTTGCTTTTAGATCCTGTGTGGCACCCTGGTTCAGATTCTGATGGAACGGGTCAGGGGTAAAGTTGCCCTACTTGGGGGGAATGCACACCCTAAGTCCACCTCTTCTGGGGAGGGGAGCAGTGCCGGCAGCTGACCTCTGACAAGGACCCCCGAAACAGGGCTCATGGAGTCGGTCTGCCACACAGCTGCCTCACGGTCACATGCTCTGTGTGATACCATCAGTCAGGCCGGCTGGGAGGAGATGGTTGGACTCCCTTTACCCCCTGGGGGCAGGGCAGTGGGTCTGCGAGCAGCAAGGTGCTGGTCAGGCCCCCCCACCCAGGGCACCCTGTGAGCTCCTTGAAGCCTCCTCTGAGCTCTCCAGACCTCTCTGCGAAGCCTTCTCTTGTACCATCCTTCCCCCTCCTCCCGTGGGGGACAGCCAGTAGCCCTGAGTGGTGGCACCCCGGCCAGTGGCCCAGCGCTAGACCTGCCATGCCCCTCCTGCTTTAGTGGCCGTCTAGGGGCAACGTCCCCGAGCAGTGGCTCTTGGAGAGGTGGGTTTGCTGCTCTGTGCAGGGCAGCTGACTCATCTAGCCCTTTATGGAAAAACTTTGCCAACCCACTGAGGAGGTCAAGCTTTCTGTTGCTTTCTGTCCCCACTGGAAATCCCATTAAGTAAGGACTCTCAGACAATAGTGACAATAAAAAGTACTTAACTTGTTTTGAGCTTTGAGGCAAGAGATGTGTTTGGCCGAGCAGTGCTGGTCTCCCCTGCCTGTCGCTCCCTCACTTGTGAAGGGTTCACCCCAGCCGTCTGGGTTTTCCTTCCTCTTCCTGGCCGCTGGCCTGCTCCTGGAGACCTGGTGGGCCTTTGCACCCTGGGCACGTGCCAGGGCTTGGTGTCAGAGCGCCGTGTGTGTCGAAGGGTCCTTTGCTGGTATTAACAGGTCGGCAAGCTGTGGAGGGCGGTGGCCTCCTGACTGAGGTCACTGGAGCTTTCCTATCCTGGAGCTCACAGCCTGACCTTCACCTCCAACTGGCGCCTTGAGGACCTCTTGGCTTCTCTGGGTCCCGCAAGTTTCTCCCTGAACGTTTTGCTCTTTTTTCAAACCGAGGGAACCGCTTGTGGGAGCCTCAGCTTGGTGACAGAGAGAGGCCACTGTCTGGCTCCGAGGAAGGGTTCTATGGGCCTGGACTTCTGGTTCTGCCCCCAGGAGAAGCTAGAGTGCGGCCAACAGCTAACCTTATGGGCTGAGTCCCACCTGCTGGGGTCTGTCTTCCTGGGGGGTGACTCTGGTCTTCGTGGGCCCCTTGCTTCTCACTCCAGGTGCAGCGGCCAGACGCTGCATTCGGCCTCCCGTTAGCAGCAATGCCAACACAGTAGTGGCAGATGCTGTCTGGTCTCTCCTGGGTCAGGCATCGAGCTCACCACTCTTGCCATTGTCCCTTTCCATCCTTCCCACTCTGCTCTGAGGCCACCGTGACCCAGCTTTGCAGGTGAGGAAATCAAGACAGATCAGATGCCGGCCCAGGGTCCTACAGCTGCTGGTGGACTGAGCCAGGATGAGAATCCGAGTCTGGGTCGCACATCCACACCCCACGTTCTCACACGCCAGATTTGGGGGGCTAGCTCCTTCCCCAGCGCTAGCTTTCATCCTGAGACTGCATCACCGGGCTTGGTGCGTTCCGGACGGTGGGGAAACGTTTGCGGGGCTTGGTTGTTACAAGAGAAGGGGATTGTTTTGTGTGCCCCCTCCCCCCCCCAGCCCTCCCCTTTTATTACCTTTACGCTGGGTAAAAACTTGGTGTCTGTGTCCTCGAATGTTCCTGTATGTAATGTGATTCTTTCTTAAGATGTAACTTCCCCAGCGTTCTCCAGATCGGGTGACCCTTTCCCAAAGGTGGCGGGAGTCTATTGGGGTGGCGTGGGCTTTGGATGGGTCAAGTGGGTGTGATGGGTCGTGGGGAGGTGGGCATCGAGTCGGAAGTTGTCATACTGCCACATTGTTTTTTGTACCCGGAGTAAAGCATATTTTGCACTTGTTACTGAACCATTGTGCAGATGAGAAATCTGCCTGTGGGATCTGTGCTTGGGTCAGAATGCAAATAAAACTCATTTGTAAGAAACCCCTGTGGCTCAGGCCTGCAGTCTCTTTCTCTCTTTTAAAATTGTGGTCAGGGGCGCCTGGGTGGCGCAGTCGGTTAAGCGTCCGACTTCAGCCAGGTCACAATCTCGCGGTCCGTGAGTTCGAGCCCCGTGTCGGGCTCTGGGCTGATAGCTCAGAGCCTGGAGCCTGTTTCCGATTCTGTGTCTCCCTCTCTCTCTGCCCCTCCCCCGTTCATGCTCTGTCTCTCTCTGTCCCAAAAATAAATAAATGTTGAAAAAAAAAAATTAAAAA